CCCTTTTCACACTTTCCACTTTTTCCTACTCACCTCACATTCTCCTCCAGGAAATATGTATATTGTGATTCTCTCTCCTCCTGTGTCTATGAGGGTATTTCTCTCTTATAAGAGGGTATCTCTTTAATGTAGACATGAGGGTTATTTGAAAGGAGCCCCAACTAGTCTAAGAGGTAATTTACACCTGTATCTTAAAATATTTCAGAGCGTTTGTGTGGGTGACCAATAGACTGTTGAACTTCTGAGTTTTATTTATAGAAATTTAAGTGTGGTATGATTCACCTGGAGGCATTTCATTTGTTACACACACACACACACACACACACACACACACACTTAAAATTGTGAGCATATCAAAAGGTAGAGAGAGAAATTCAAATTTTTTTTGTAGAGTCTCTTTGGAAAAACAAATAAATGGTTAAAGACCATTCCTGAACACAGTGCTATACCAACTGATCATATTACCCATAACAATGAGGGTTTTAAATAGAATGTGCTTTAGCCTTCTACATGTTTATAGTCCAAAGGATTTGGGGAGCCAATCCCATGAGATTTACAGTCATTAGATTTTTCCTTTTAATTGTATTAATATTATGTAGTACTTTGGGCTATCTACCTTACCACTGGCACCACACCAAACAACAACAATAAAACCCTCTATTCTGAAGGTGTGTGTGTGGGGGGGGGGGGGGTTGGGGGGAATGTCTCTATACCTTCAGAGTTTCATTCACTCGTGTTAAGGTTGATGCTTATCATCATACTAGGGCCCAGTGCACGAAATCATGCACCTTGAAAGAAATTGTGGGCCGCAAGGCTGCTCTGGGCACAGGGGCAGGTCTCTGCCCATCCTCTGCGACCCCTGTCCAGCCCCTTCTACCTCGGCCCCTGGTCCCCTGTCTGCCAGCAGCCCCACTCCTGCTGCCACTGCTCCCACACACTGACAGCGCCAGCCCCGCTCGCACCCGCTGACAGTGCAGAGTGATTGGGGCCGGCACCAGCAGCAGGTACAAGCAACGGCTGCTGCCCCAATCGCCCCTCAGGAGCAGAGTGAGGTGGAGAAGCCCTTAGGGGCAATTGGGACCAATGCTGGGCGCTGGCAGCGGGTGCGAGCGCTGGGCAGGACTGCAGTGTGTGGGAGCAAAGAATTTTCAGTAAACACCAGAGGCTTGCCCCAATGACACTGACCAGCACCCTGCCTTGGTCTGGTACCCCCACTCACCTGCTCCACCATCCCACCATGTTCGCGCGCGCCCCCTGGTGGTCAGCGCACATCATAGTGACCAGTTGTTCGGTTGTTCCGCTGTTCGGTCTATTTGCATATTAGCCTTTTATTATATAGGATTACACATGTGTGGCCAGACACCCTCACAGTTAGAATGGAGAGCTACAGACCTTTAATGGGCCAACCCCTCCCTTCCTTTTACTACAACCCTCCACCATGTCGAGCCTCCTGGGTCATAGCCTTGGGGGATTTAAACCTTTTCTTTCTCCTTCAGTTTCTTTCTCCTTTACCTATGACTTGGTAGGTAAACCAACAGTAGTTCTTCTAACGAACTAGGCTCTATTCTAACCATCATCAGTGGCTGGCTTTCTTTTTCACGTCATGGTCACACATGGCTACCACTATTTGCATGGTAGGACATTTCAATGTTTAATTCTTTTAGTATTTCCTAGTGAATTCAAGAAAGAGATTCAGTGAGTGGGAAAGTAGACAAAATTCCCTTCCCCTTTAGTTGTTTTTTAGTTTGATCAGTCCTGATGTATATCTTTAATCATAAAATAGTAAACAAACTGATTTATATTTCGGGGACATTTCCCAGGAAGGGGCTGGGGGCAGTAGGTATGCTATAAAGATTTCTCTAGTGAAGGGAAAAGTAATTCTTTTGATCAATAGACAACCTGATGGCATTTTACTGTCATAAATACAAAAGCTAAAACTTTTGAAGATAAAAATTCCACTATGCCGACACTCTCAAGCTCCCACCCAGAAAGACCATGCGGTGCTGTATGAAACCTGGTCTTTTCTCCAAAAACCACTTGCTGGGTTCCCTTTCCTCGTGCTTTCATGCTTTTTCTGTCCTGTGTGGTGGGCACCTAATCCTCTGAATGCATTTCCTTCAAGTGCTTGCAAATAAAGCCCAAGGTTTGCCTTCTCTCCACGTTACAAATAGATGTTTTCTTAATTGGATAATTTATATCTCCTCTTATTATTTCTTCCTGAAACTCAGCTTGGAAACCAGAGCTTAACTGCCAGTGTGCTGGAGGTAAATGCTTCACAGACACACAGACCAGCTGCTCCACAGGTCTCTCCCCATTCCCCCTTCCATGCCACCTTTTATCCGAAATACTTTGACCAAAGCCAGGCTTCAGGCCAGCACCCCTTGCCCTGCCTCCACCTGCTGACTTGGGGCCTTCACACCTGCACGGACCTCTGTTGACATGAACGCCTCTCCTTGCTCCTGACCACCTTCCCCAGGCAGCACCGCGGGCTCCTGCCATAGACTCCTCCCAATGGAGGGAGTGCTCCCAGCCATCCCAGAGGAGCCCCTGATGGCTGACTCTCACACCACAGGTGGCATCTCCTTAGTGGCCCCGCTGCCATGCACAGAACTATGCTTCCTCCTCTGACCCCGTCATTTTCAAACAGGTCTCCAAAGGCCAGAGGACTGATTGCTTGTCTGCCATCTCATTTTGCTGCGGAGCATTTCATTCCCATTGATGCTGATTATTAGTAAACTGATTCTACGTAGTCTACCAGGAAATCCATGACAGTCATCCTCAGAAACCCACTGTGGGCCGAAAAATCAGTTACATTCTCTCCATTCCTTTCAGAGTGATTTACGTTCACACTGGTTGCTCTAGCTAATGAGCTGGACAGTGATTGGCCTTAATAAGAAGTCACCTCCGAAACGTAGATAGACACACATATAATATTATGGTGATTGGATTATAGAGAAACTAAAATTTTTCAGAAATGGTAACCCAATATTAGATCATGGTAGATAACGGTTTAACTGGGAGATTCATGTGAGTAGTTCATGTACTTCTTTCTCGCCTGCACAATTACTGACTACATCATGCTAACGCCTCTTGCTCCCCCTCACTAACACCTTCATCTCCTGAACCCAAACTATCTTTCAGGACAGAATGATGTAAATGATCCTAACCTACCCTGCAGAAATTGAGCCCTATAATATTTTGGGAATTCTTTTTCCTGAGCCATTCCAGGATAGAATTTTATGAATACAGATATTGTTTCACATATCAATAATTTATCTTCCATTTAGAGCAATACATATTTCCCATGTATATTCTATCATTTCAATGTCTGTGACAAGTAGTCTCTACTAAATGATTTATGAATGGTTAACATGCTTCAAAATTTTATGACACAGATTTTCAGTTGCATATAATGTGTAGTTAATGACTTCAATTTGAAAGGCATATAATTTTAGGCAAAAAAATAGGAATATTTTTTTCTAAAAAATTGACTTTATAATGAAGTTTTAAATAAGCACTGTCATAGACAAAATAGGATTTAGAATGACTTTTTTAAGTTTACATAGTACCATGATAGTTTTAAATAGAAATTTTCCTGGTTTTAACATTAATTATAACAACAGTTTTAAAGTTATATTTACAAAGATCAACCAAACTTGATTTGGGCAGGGAGGAAAAATAGTCTCAAATAATTCATCCAAGGTAAATAAGAGCTCGAAGATTTGGGGTGCTTCCAAAGTCAGTGCCTCGCACTTACTTGCATGCCCACTGCCCTTCAGGTAGAAGATCCTCAAACACAGGCACTTAGGATATGAGGGTGATTTCCATAATAGCTTAGAAAAGTACGTAGTCAAGAAGCACCTCGCTGTAATGAAATGTTTGACGTCAGGGCAGATGTGGCAGTGCTATAGAGTCATGAAATTAGGTTTATTCTAGGTCATTTGAAAACATCTGCTTTAAAGTGAAAAAAATCATGGAAATAAGCAACTAATCATGCATCTGTGTGTCAGGCCTGTAGAATTATTTATTTTGTGTTAAACTAAGTAGAAAAAGTTCACCAATTCTGTTTATCTATGTGCATATGTGTGTTTGGTGTGCTCAGCTGTAAGGCCATCTTAACTCCATGCTCTTACCAATGTGTTGTGTCGTTGGCATGCATTACGTAACCTCCTCAGTGCTCAGTGTGTGTGGACAGAGGGGCATGCTCCGCCTCTGTGAACTCAGCTGATTTAATTCAGTTAGAATATGTACCTGTTGAGTATACTATGCTCTTAGCACCAAGATGTGTGTTATAAAATCTATGTTTAAAAGAAGCAGGTATATGACCATTTCCAACAAGAAGCTTGAAATACCTTTGGGATTAAAATACTCAGGTATAAAGCAATCAAACCAATACATTATTAAGAAACCAAACAGAGGCCTATAAAGTGCTAAATGAGATCGGAGGAGGGAGAAGCCAGCGGTTAGCATGTTTTTACCAGGTATTTGACTCTCCTAGAATAGATTGATTTATGATGCATAAATCCAAACAATTGTGTTCCTTATCTTAATAATCACCTTGCCCTGGAAACATTGGGTCGTTAGAGGGTATCCCTGACCAAGTCTGAGAACCAATCCCTTTCTTCGGTCAAAGAGCATTCACTTCAAATCTCCATGCAGAGCAGTGTGATGTGCTCTGACAATTTAACTCGACAATAAGAGCAAACTTGCCCTCCGGGCTTACTTTATACTGACTCCTACTGGTACCATCTCTGTTGGCAGAGTGGCATGCCCACCAGTCAGCTGCTGTCTAATCACCCCCAGCGCCCTCTGGCATATAAGAGAGTGATTTCAGAAATAAAGGAAGAGTGAGAAGACACGGAAAATGTGCGCCCTGTCCCTCTAGACATCAGTTTTCAGAGTAAATAGAAACTGGACAGCTGATGCCTGTCACCTGAATGAAGTCTTTCACTGTCATCTAAAGGAACGATGCTTTAACGGGATGTCTGCACTTTTCTCAGAGCCAGGTAACAGTGAATGGAAACTCGGGAGGTGCTGTGAGTCCGATGAGCTACTACCAGCGGCCGTTCTCCCCTTCGGCCTACTCCCTGCCAGGCTCCCTCAATTCCAGCATCATCATGCCTCATGGCCGGTCACTCGGTGAGTCGCTGGATCATCATGATTTTCATGACAATTTCAAAATAGCGAGTACAGACCACATGAGGAAAATAATATAAAGCATTGGAGTAACTTTTAGAAAGGAGGCAGACACGTTCATCAGCTCACGATTAAAGACCCTATCCTCGGGAGGCATTAGGGACCGCGTGAACTCAGCCTCGGAAGAAACAGGCACCCAGCCATTCCAAGGCAGCGACTGCTTCTGTACCTTCCTCTGGGGAAGGCGATTCGATATTTGGGGTGTGGGGGGTTAGAGAGAAAAAGATGGGCCATTAGGGAGGGGAGAGCTCACATCACCAGGAGAACATTCACAGGGTGCATTTCCATGTAGGGTAAATCCATCCATGTGGAGGCACCCTGTTCTTTCGTGGGAAAACTGTCATTGTAGAACATTCTTTTGGTGTCTGTAAAGAAGACCTGGCTCACAGTTAAAGCAGACCGACGGGCACAGGCTGCCTCACACAGTAGTACACACTGAACTACTGCCTCCCAAAGTAGTAAACTACTCAAACTGAGGCCAGAAGACCATCCGTCAGGGATGTGAGTCCCTTTAAAGCAGCGGTTCTCAACCTGTGGGTCGCGACCCCTTTGGCGGTTGAACGACCCTTTCACAGGGGTCGCCTAAGACCATCCTGCCTATCAGATATTTACATTACGATTCATAACAGTAGCAACATTACAGTTATGAAGTAGCAACGAAAATAATTTTATGGTTGGGTCACAACATGAGGAACTGTATTTAAAGGGCCAGAAGGTTGAGAACCACTGCTTTAAAGGATGATGCCAGGATTTCATCAAAACATAGCTCTTTTGGGAAATAAAAATTAGACGAAAGAGAGAGCTTTCCTCTAGATACAAAATGAACACTTGAACATTTATTAAAAAAAACAAACTTTCCAGCATATAATTTCACGGGGCTCATGAACTCCTTAAAGCTTGCTGGGGAAGAAACTGCTATATAACGATGGAAACATTTTTATGTGGCAAAATATATTACAACAGCTTAGAAAACAAGGTCATACATTTTCCTAGTTTTCAGAAATGTAAAAAAATAACCGAGAACATTACATTACCAAAAAATAAAACCAACCCAGACTAACTCAGAGCATCATATGCATTGAAGCTTAAAAAAGGTTTCATGATATTGAACCAGGCCTCCAGGGCAGCAGGAAGCGGGGAGGAAGGCAGAGGACCACGTGGTCACAGCACAGCTCTCAGAAAAGTAGGAGGGGCCCATCCTCGGGCCACCAACCAACTACAGGGAGCAAGAAAGGAGAGCAGAGGGCTTTAACTCCCATTTCCTCCCCAATAGCAGCAGCACCCTCGTTTCCCCAACACTGCTGTGTATTGAAAGAACACAATGCCATTAGTTTACCCAAGAACATTCGCCATGTGCACTGTGGACTCAGCTTCTGTGTCAACACAACCTCTGTAGCTCACGTGTAGCCAGGAGACTCGTTAAAGAAAAGTCTAATGATGCTTGTGCTTTTCTACTGCTGCTCCTGGAATGATCGGTGACTCTTATAACGATGGCCTTTTAGAGTATAAGAAAGCAGAACGTCCTTGTGCCAGAATGTTGCCCTTAATTAGTCACTGGTGTAGTTTTACAATAGGAGCTCATTATATCTAGATTTTTTACAGAGCATCTGCAGTAAAACTCTACAAATGATTCTAGCCGTAATATTTTCCCAAATAATTACTGTCAAAGTCTGACTCTTTCACCCCCATTGCTCACCTTAATGAACACAATTTTTTCACTTCACCTCAACAAAAAATATATATAAATACTTGAATGTAGACAGGGTTCTATATTAGAGCGTACCATTGGGTAGATTTTACATATAAACTATAAACATGGAAAGAAATTCTCTATGTAAACATTGAACAAATTCCAGTTGGCCAATGCTGAGTTGGGTCCTGAGGAGAATGTACAAACCTATCCTGCCCTAGAGAAACTTGATATTTAGCTTAGGACAAAAACAGCAAAAATGAGAGTTAGTGGAGCATATAAGAGCATAATAAAATAAAAGGTTGACTTGTATTATTTAAGTTCATAGAATCTCATGAACCATAAATGAAGACAAAGTTAATACAGGCAGAAATTTTACACATACTAGGGTCTCAAAAAGTTTGTTTTTTTATATAAATACTAGATCATGGTTGCTCAGTCAAATCCTCTTTAAAATTAAATGGGAAATCTGAGTCAAATATCACATTGTGTCTTACTTTGGAGCTGCCTGGAAAAGATTACTTTTATCTACTACTACAGTGGTACATAAAGCAGTTTTATTTCAGCCTTATTCATTCTTCATCAGACATGGACTGAAAATGCTTTTCTGTTGCAAATGAAATAGAAAATAGCCATAATAGTAATAGCAGTTATAAATATTATAATGGATTTTAGTTGATCTCTTCTTATAATGATGAGTTAAATTTTTAAGTGAGTATATCATTGCTAACCTAAAACATTAGGACTTTTCCATATCCATATTAAAAAAAGACCTTTCTGAGTGACAGATCTGACCAAAGAATCATTCTTGGTCACCAAAATTTTGAAATTTATTATTTTAAAAAAAGGAGGGGGGAGTAAACAACAACAACAAAAAAGAAAAGAACACAGGAAATTGTATTATCAGTTGCACCAGATGAATGGTAATAATGTTGATTTTCACAACTATCTCTGAACTAAGAGTAAGTGGAACATATAGTACAGTAGGTCCCCTCCTTTCTTGAGAAAGTATAGCACAAGTTAATAATCATGGCATGAAGACAGGGACAGGATAAATCCCATCTTATATATATGCTTAGGGCGATTTGTATCCTCAAGGGGCCAGAAGTCATGGTTTTTGGTACTTTAAACTAAAAGCAAAGACATTATGGCCATCTTGGCTACTTAAATAAAAATTAATACTAATAATTTAAAGTCGTTTATTTACCCATAAGCCAAGTATACGTTTGGATACTTGGAAACAGCGAGCAGTTTCACAAAAAGAATAGTAATGTAAACTATGAGCTGGGACTCACCTCGCCCCAGCTTCTGCCCCCACAGGATGACTGGAAAAATGAGAAGAGGCAGTGCATGCAAAGGGCTTCGTTACGGTGGCTGCCACAGGCCACAAGGTCTCTCACCAAGGCTGTTCTTCCCCTCACCCTTCTTCATGAAATGGGAGGGTCTTGTTATAGGTGTGTTCAATATGCACCTCCCTGTTAGCAGCCAGTGGCTCAAATTTAAGGTCACTGAGTTAAGAGATCGGGATGGAAATATAGACTATGCCACGTTTGGCACAACTATGCAAGAGGTACCATTAATTTATGATTCCCCGGGCCTCACACGCATCATATGTCGCCACATTCTCTCCCCAGATTCCACAGAGGCGTATGCCCAGCACGCGCAGTCTCTGGACGGCACGGTGGGCAGCTCCATCCCGCTGTACAGGTCCTCAGAGGAAGAGAAGAGGGTGACCGTCATCAAAGCTCCACACTACCCTGGGATCGGGCCGGTGGACGAGTCCGGCATCCCCACGGCCATCAGAACGGTAGGCTGGATTCGGGAGGCTCCGTGCACCCCTTGTCTGATCTGATGAGGGTTGCCTGTTCTCATGCAGATCACGCTGTGTGTGGCGGAGAGAGGACTGCCCATGGGAGCTAATCACACAATCTGTTTCTCCATTTTAATGAAAAATCATGAAACTTGTGGTTTTGTCAAATGACAAGAGTCTTGTTTTACCTTCTACCGAGGAGTGTTAGGGCAATAGGAGGAAAAGGGAAGGACCGAGAAATGTGACTGCTTTGGTGCGTTGAATTCCCACATGCATTGCAGACAACCCAGGGGTTTGTTCCTTGAAAGGGATGTGTGTTAACACCACCAGGAGGTGAGGAGCTGGGGGCTGAGGGCTGGGAGGTGAGGTGATTGGAGTGAAGGGAGTTAATGTCATGGAAAGAAACAACCAGGAAAATACACATTTGAGAGTTTTCCCTCTTCGGCTGTGCCTGCTGGGAGCTCTCCGGGATGCTGAGTGAGTGTCTGGATTTTTTTTTAGTCTCTAAACGCTGCCAGGGCATTGCTCAGTGCGTGGGGCAGCCCCTTCTGGCAAAGCTCAGCAGTAGCAGCGGCTCTGGGAGCCGGGCAGGCAGCCGCTGGCTGAGCCAGTCCACTGGAAGACAAGGTCTGTGCTACCGGCGGGCGGACTTGGGAACCACCAGGATGAGAGCAGCAGCGCCTTTGCAGGTGATGTTGGGGGGCGGTTCGAGAGCAGAGCTCAGGCTGCCTACACGTGTCCGCAACACCCACATACCTGGCTGGGATGTTGCCAAGAGCTATTTCCCTGGAATGCAAACCTGGGGGAGAGAGGATGCGAAGACAATAGAGGGTAGAGGAAAAGAAGGGGAAAGGGATCAGAAAAATGCAGTGGTCCGATCGGAAACTGCGGCTGGACGAAAGACCACGTGTGGGGGTTTTCTCTCCTTGAATCTGTATTTATTATGCGGGGATTACGTGTTCTGTATACAGAGAGAAAAGTTAAAAATTAACTATTCCAAGCATCTGTACTAGAATTGGAAGCCAAAAAAGTAAGTCTGTACAGCAGTGGCTGTGGGTTTTATGCTCGTGAGATTCTGAAAGCACTGAATGTGACTAATTATAAAATCCTCAAACTCTAAGTTGGAACTGGTGATTGTCATGTTTAAGGGACAGAAACGGCTCAGGGATCATGACTAACATTCTTAATCTTAGGATGACTACATGTTTCTGGTGACAATGTTTTGTTGTTGGTTTCCCTTTCAAGATTTCTGATTCAGAATGGTTACACTTAAAATTTTTTCCTAATAATGTGGAGCTATCGTGTCAGACAGGTATGCTATCATTGGTTCTGTTTAATTGATCCCTGAGGCACAATATATACACAAATTCGGAGATCCCTGATTCTATATAGTTATAGATTCTCTCTGAAAAATTTTATCTGAGACTCTGGGTGTGTTTCTAAGTCAACAAATGATACTAGAAATGAATATGCAAAGCCTGACCTTCTGTTTTTAACCCATTAGACGTAATTTTCTTAAATAGCAAGGCCTTGCTTGTTCGTTTTTAAAAGGAAAAAAACTGAGATGATGTGGATGGTGAAAATCAAGTAATGTTAAAATTTGATATTGTTTATATATTGCTGAATCATGAGCACGTCTAGACATGCATACGTTAACACATATACCATACTCAATGCTAGTTCTCAATCCATAAAGTCGAAGATAAAATATAGTTTCTATGTACAGCTGTGCTCTTATTTGGCCATTTAGAACTTTACAAAGAAGGTGTAGGTCTATTTCCTATTTCCCAGCCTGGCCCAGCACATCCCCAAGTATAGCCGTGTTTATAAATGCCGAGTCAGGCCATCGCTGAGCCTCTGCAGGCCAAGAATCCAGGGCTGTTTTTCTTTCTCCTCCACGTAGACAGTCATGATTATCAGACTGGGTTGCTTCACATGGACTTTCTGCTGAGCGAATGTATACACCAGAGGCAGTGCCGCCTCCCGTATCGTGTTGTAGTCTCATTCTAGAAACCGGCACAGACCCAGGAAACAGAATTGTGCAAAGTAACCCAGAAACTCTAGAAAGCCAAGAGTCAACAAATGTACCTTTGAGTTACTTGAACGAAGGGAAGTGGCTCCCCCCACTGCCCTCTCTCATGTGACCCGGGCCCTCTGTGTTAGCCTTTTACCGCCATTCTTAGCAACAACAACAGAACCCACCAGGGTTCAGATCCCATGGGACTGTCTAATTACGGCCAGCTAGTTAAGTGAAATACAAGACTCCTTTCTTTTTCTTCAAATACAGCACCATTTGAGCATTTTCTCTTTTTTTAATCTTTTTTTTTTTTTAACCCTCACCTGAGGATATTTTCCCACTGATTTTCAGAGAGAGTGGAAGAGAGAGGGAAAGACAGAGAGAAATATTGATGTGAGAGAAGCATGTTGGTTGGTTGCCTCCTGCACTAGCCCTAACCAGGGCCCAGACCAGGGAGGAGCCTGCAACGGAGGTACATGCCCTTGACCGAAATCAAACCTGGGACCCTTCGGTCTGCAGGCCGACACTCTAGCCACTGAACCAAACCGGCTAGGGCCATTTGAGCATTTTCAAAGTAGGAAGGAGCAAACATCGACTAGAATAACTGCATACTGGTGTGTAGAGAATGTGCATATTTCCCCTTGTTGGAAATCCCTGCATGTTAAATCAGAGTTCTGATCATCTGTAAACTGTAGGAATGTGAAAATCCAGGTATGCTCAGCCGAGGTGACTGAAAACACTGAATAGTGGATTTCTAGTAGTTAGTGTCCAGGCAAAATAATTTTGAAGGACACCTACAAAAGTAGTAAACATCCTCACATTTGAGTAGGCCTCTGTTTACTTAGTCTCAGGATTAGCCATAACAATCTCCACGATGGCATTTATAAGACAAGGTTGAAATGCTTAGAGGACTTCTTTTAGAACGGGACACAGAGTTTTTGTGTGGCCAATTTCATATTCCCCTTTGCCAACTGGCTGGGCATGTCTGGCATCTCTGTGCTCACCATATAAAGCTAGCAGATGGCAGAACTGAGCTCCTGCCCAATACGTGCCCTTCAGCCAGGCAGGAAAAGTCCTGTCTGTCAGGATCCATTGCCATATACAGGGCTATGACTTATTTATTAGGCGTCCTTGTTGCCATCGGTCATGTCCAGGTGTGACTGGAAAACATTTCTGCACAAGCTTATGTCTTCTTTTCTGTTGCTGAATACTGTAAAGGAAATGAAGCTTAATGGAAGAGAAATCGATCTTTTATGAAAATAAATGTCCCTTAAAGACACTTGATCAGTTACTTCGTTTAAACCAGCAAATAATAGCTGGACTTCATCACTGCACCCCATCCCACCAGTTACCACCATTTGAACATAAAGTCCATCAACAAGCCCCTCAATTTTTCCATTCTGAAAAGAGCGTAGAATGAATGAAGAGGTGATTCACCACAAAGTCAAGTAGCCCTTAAAGTTCATCTATACTTGTGGTGATTACAGACCCATATATTCCTAGACACCAAAATAAAATTGAATATAGCTCAAAACTCAATTTCCAGATGAAAAAATGCAGTGACCACATTTCTGAAAGAAAAATGAGGGTATCAAATTGAAACCAAAGCTGAGTCTAACCAGTATAAGAATATTTTGGTGGCAGTCCTAACGGAGTATTTTATATCAAGGGAATTGTCTCAGAAAGTCTGGTATATTTAGTCACTGTACACACAATGGTTGAGCCTCTTGCCCTAGTAGCTCTGGAAAAAGTTAAGATAAAGATCTTGACAAGAAAAATCTTTAATTAGGATTATAAAAGTGTCTGTCTACTTTCACAGGTACATAATATGGTCAAGTTCCATGCAACAATCTGGATTCACTCATTATTTTATTCTATAAAGATTGATGTTCCCTATGGTTTTTTTATTGAGCATTGTAGGCATTGTTCTAGATCTTTTTGTGTACATTGTCTCATTCAATTTCCATAACAATCCTATGATGTGGATATAATTTTTTCATTTTAAAAAGAAGAAAACGAGGCTCTCAAAGGTTACCTAACTTATCCAAATTCATATTGGTAGGAAACAGCCATTAAAGGATCTGAGATAGGAATCTAGGTTGATCTGACATTAATTGTCTTCTCACTTCTATCACATCAAAAGCCTGGGCTGCAGACAAGGGCACTTCTGTGCTCAAGGAATTTGCCATTTAGCAAAGCAAATGTTGTAAATGTTTTATTATCAGGTTAACAACATTTCTGAAACAACATCTCCATTTTTAGACTTGCTCTCAGACTCTGGATTGTGTCCCTACACTTGGTACTTTAGTAACTTAGAGTAGAAAATATTCATTTTTTCTTTCTCTGAGCCTAAGTTGACCAGAATACAGTTGGAGTCAAAAATATTCCTTTGTTAATTCTAAAAATAATGTCTTACACAGAACACTCCCTAAAAAGTTTTTTAAGGATAATGATACTTATCTCCAAAAGGAGTGAAGAACACTGTGATAACCTAAGTTGACCAGAATACAGTTGGAGTCAAAAATATTCTTTTGTTAATTCTAAAAATAATGTCTTACACAGAACACTCACTAAAAAGTTTTTTAAGGATAATGATAATTATTTCCAAAAGGAGTGAAGAACACTGTGATAAACCTATACCTCTTATTCAGTGACTTTTATATAAATACTAGAGACCCGATGCACGAAAATCATGCAAAAGTAGGCCTTCCTTCACCCGGCTACCAGCACCGGCTTCACTCGCAGCCCTGGCTTCAGTCTAATTAGCATATTACACTTTTATTATTATAGATGTTTGTGTAAACATTAACTGTCGAGTGCTGGGCAAAACTCTGATGAGGATAAAATAAAACCATAGCACGTATAATGCTCCAATTCAGCCTAAACTCAAACAAGGGGTAATGTATTTACACACTGCATGCAGAACTGGATAAATGACTGGTATTGTCATCATGAGATAGATTTTTATCAACCAGAGAACATAAATTTGCTATTAAAAAAGATAAAATATAGAAAGAAAAACATGAAGAAACGACATCGATCTGGAAGCAGCTTTGTAACTGTTGGACATTCTCTTTTATAGACAGTTGACAGACCGAAGGACTGGTACAAGACGATGTTCAAGCAAATTCACATGGTGCACAAGCCAGGTATGCATGTTGCTCTCTGTTCCCATCGGGTCCCTGTGGGTTGAAGGATGTATATGGATCCTCCCCGTTTACACAGTTGGTTCACCCCAAATGTCAAGACCCTAACAAGCTTCCTGGCCTCCATTGTTTCTTGTGAACATTCCTCCTTATATCACCCCTTCAAATCCCAGACTCTGTGCTCCTGCCTCACCCCTGATCTGCCAAGAAGCCTCTTAGGTGGTGACCTTGAGGAGGCGCCAGCTGCTCTGGTCTCTTCCCTTCGTCCTTCCTTGTCCACAATCTGAACCCCAGTGTGGCCTGTTGTTCACTTAGACAGACTCATTATTCCTCTGTCCACGTGTCTGCTCCCTATCCAGAGAGTGAGCGTTGGTAGGTCTCGCTGAGTTGACAGAGATATTTAAAGCACTTTCTAAAGGAAAGTCAGGCCCCAGAAGAGAAGGCTGGGAAGTGAGGCAAAAGTACTGACCTTGGATGGCCGAAGGGCAAATACGTTACAGACTGTCCCAAAAACAGTATTTGAAAAAAATATATATTTTTATGGTATTTTGAGCTAGGCAACGTACATTGGTTTTCTAACAAATGTCTGCTGTTTCTGTGAAGTTCTGCTGTCTGGTTGTGATGCGGTGACGCAAGCTGCATTACCATCATATGTATGTTTCGTTTTCTAGATGATGACACAGACATGTACAATACTCCTTATACATATAACGCAGGTAGGACGGCGTCCCTTGCGTGCAATGAGTATTTTTCGCCTTGCAATGCTTGGAAGAACTTTAGCCTCACTTCTACCGCTGTGGGCGCATGTTTTCAGTCTACACAATGAGGAGGCTGCTTTTCCCCCCTTTTTTTCTCATAGCATGCCTAACAAAAGGATTGATCTCTTCTCTCGGGTATGAGAACTAACACTGTTGTACAGCCTTCATTCCCGTGTTAGTTGATTCTCAGCTTCAGGAATGTTTAACTCAACTGTGAAGGCCAGCCTGAAAGAACACACTGTAAGGGTACAAAATAAGATAAAGATCTCCTTTTATCAGAGGAGAGAGGGAGCGCCATTGCGTAAGATCTTTCAGATACACTTCACAGCAAACAAGTCAGGCACAGTGTTCTGTGACCTTGCCCATGCTTTTGCTCCAAAATGCACCCATTCATGGAAGGGTTGTTTAAAATCCCACTTTGCCGGCCACTCTTCTGACTCAGAGTTGCCCAGGTCATAACGAGCCACTTCAATTCCGGGCATTTCTGCTTGTACTTGAGTGTGTTGGTATCTTGTGAAGTGGTTGCAGGCTAAAGTGAGGGAACCCCTAGAAAATGTTTCCTGTCATGACTTCCTCCTAAATGGCACATCCGGGAATCCCACACGGGGCCTCCTGTCCCTGCTCAGCCTCGGGCTCCAGACCCCTGCCCGTGGTCTGTTCTTTCTTTAGAGCAGGCTCAGTGGATGGGTCTGCCCTCCCCTTACTAGTACACACCAGCAGCCCCACAAGGGGTGCCCTTGCCGGCCTGGCTCAGAGCCGCAAAGGTTCCCCACTCCTGGACACCTAGGGGCCAGTGCACAGGCCCTTGAAA